TTTTGACAAGATTAGATCTGACTGAGAAACTCTCTTAATATGATTATGCAATTTTCTTGGGATTCTCTTTTTATTGCTCTTCTTATATCTTTTCAATTGGGAAAGGAAACCTCTAGAATTGCATATGTTGGTATCTAGAATTTTGTGAGTCTGAGCACACCAGCTTTTGAGTTGTAACAATTTTAAGACATACTCATAAAGGTAAATATTGATCCTCACATCTGCTCTGTTTAACTAAGTATATTTTTTTCATAGTCTGTACATACCTAAATTTATAGTGAGTATCTAAAAAAATATTATGACTAATATTTTTATGATCTAGAAAAAGTATCTGACTTTTACCAACCAGATCCATGTGTTCAGAATGGCAAAATTGTTGACTAGCACATCAGAAAGAAACAGTCGCGGGCAACATTGTTCTTCATCTAATTTGCCAAGTCCTTGGCACGTATCATACTTTCTTAGAGAGCTAAGGAAAGAAATTTGATAACTTCAGAAGAATTATCTAGAGATTATTTCTCATTTATATGAGTTTTAAAAACCAGTTCAGAATACCTTTACATCAGGAATTTTCTCTTAAAATGTTAAGTAGAATTCTCATGTCATTAGGATTAGCTTAAGCTAATGATCACTTATAATTTAGAACATCACGTATGTCTATAAAATAACAAATATCTGAATGAGTGTTACAAAATGAAGTAAAATATCTGAATTTTCCAAAGATTGGCTCTTTTGCATCCAAGCAAAGAACTGTGGCCTTGGGTGAAATGTTTCTCCTGAGAAATACATTCGTTTTGTTTGTTATCTTGTTCATTTTTTGTAAGATTGCTTCAAGTAAATATTTATTTTGAGGGTATGGCAACTGGAACTAAGTTATTTCTGTGAATTAAGTAGATTCATCAGCAACCCTCATCTAGAACTTCTTTGATAAACAGCTCCACTCTTGGAGAAACTATGCCTTCCTGAGTTGAAAATCAGAGGGAATGTTGGTCAATTATAGAACAGTGAGGCAGAGTATGAATAAGTATATTCATCTTTTAGAAATAGAAACATCATTTTTATTAGGCATCACGTAAAACCAGAGTGTACCAAAAAGTTCAAATATATTTTGTTTAAGAATATTTAAACAGTTTTTTATCTTAATTGTGTGGCATTCATATAAGTAGCAATGTGGCAACAAGTATTGTTTTCTGGAGTTATTTATTGTCGTTCAATAAGACTGAGAGTTTGGATGTATAAACTGGAAGTGAGATAATAAGAATTGCCAACACAGAGAATCTATTGATGTAGTTGCGGAGATTAGGGAGATATTTCAAGGGGAAAAAAACACGAATTAATCCTGGTCAAAATAGAATTACAGAAACATCTGTAGTGGACAGAGGGGTGAAATAGTTGGTAGAATCACACAAGAAAGTCAGTAAATGTATGGTTATTAAATTTATGGATAATTCAGTAATTGAGGACCCCAACTAAACATTTCTGGAAAGTGCAGATCAGGAATATATATCCCCCAAGTTAATAGACAGGCATATTACCCAAAGAAAGACAAATTGTATACTCTATTCTTGGATTTGAATCATCACTAAATAGACAAAGAAATTTAAAAAAGAAAAAGTCCTCATGACAGCATCTGGATGATATATTTCTGGCTATGAAGCCATTATTACTGATATGGGTTCTAGATTCTGTAGTTGCCTTAAATCTTATTTGTTTCCAAATTTGAATACTAACCTTCCTGTCAATTATGTGACACATCGTTTTCCCCACCCCACTAATCTTCCAATACATTTCCTTTAGCTTAATTTCAATTTCACAAAATTAAGATATGTACTCAGTTAAGAAGTCAGAATATTTAGTTATAACTATAGATAAGATATTTTACACTACTTAATAATCACATCAAGTCTTTTGACAAGGAAATTTTAAAGCTAATGATGAGGATATATTTTTCAAGAAATTAAAACATACTTTATTTCAGAAATTGCTGCAGTAGTGGATATACTTATCTCAATGTAGCCTTCACAGCTGTGTTGTTTTTAATGACAAGGTTAAAAATAAAGTTGATATTCTGTTCCTTTTATTATTTTTCTTAACTTCTGTTTTTCTCTTTTATTGATAGCAGTTTTAATATTTTTGATTTTTTTTATCAGAGCTACCTTAGGGACAATTTTTGCATTAGTATAAAAATTTGATAAATTACTCGAATTTTTGAGTGATATGTTTCCCTAGATTTTAAGCCCCCAAACACTGATTACCTGTGTGTTATAGTTACCAAAGTCTTCCTACATGACCCAGCACATGTGAGAGCAAATGAATAAATGAATGGATATAAGAAGGAATGGTTACTTCCACATAGTTACTTCCAGTGGTTCATTGGTTGATATTTTAAATTTCTGGAGACAGAGTTAAAGGTCAGTAAACTCTCAGTATATTCTCTAGTCTGTGAAATTAGCTATACTAAATTAAAGTAGATCTTTGGCTTAGGAGAGAATAAAAACTGTATTTTGCAAATACAAATAAAAAACTGTATTAATAATTGTTCAATTAACAATTATTGTCATGCATTAATCTATCATATTTAGACACTGAAAATATAAATGATAATTTTTATTATGCTAGTTATGACAAGAAATAACAAAAACTTTCATACCCATAAAGAAAAATGGTTTTCCAACTATCACGAGAAATATGACGCCATTCATTGTTTTGATAAATAAAAGTCATAAATGGTCTAAATTGAGGAATTTGAAAGGAAAATACAATTAATAGCTTTTGCTAATTTTGTTATTACTTCTTATAATTCTAGACAATTCTTTTAACATGAACTAAAGTATCATATATGTTCCTAAATGTTTGCGTTTTCTGGAAACCTACAAATTCAGACTCTGAGAGAGATATACAAATGCTATATGGAGACTCTATTTTTTCCTGATCCTGGCATTTGGAGTCACCTGGTCACATACATTTTAGGCATACATACATGAGGCTGTGTTACCAAACCAAAGTGGATTCACTTCCCAGTGAGTTAAAATCAGAGCCTCCACCAAAAGTAGTTATCACACAAAGTAGAGTTTATTGGCAGCAAGGAGGCCACACACAATCATTTCCAAAGTTGTGGCTCCCCAACAAAGGGAGAAATAGGCCATGATAAATTGGCCTATTTCCACAGAAAAAATAAAATTTGCTCATCGAAGAATTGGAGATAAAGATAGTTGTAATGGGCCACCACAGACTTTTAAAAATTCAATCAGAGATGATGAACTAAGTAGAATTTAGTACAATTTACTCTTTAAGACAATCTTCACTTAATCTCTGTTACTATTTTACTGCTTGCCTTTATTTTTGATCCCTCTGGCAGACTTTATTCAGACATAAGGTGCAGGTAAATTTCATCATGTGTTGAAATCCATTGGTGCTTAGGATGGTGACAGTTGGTACATGAACATTTTACAAGTTTGAGATGATAATATTTTAGAAAAATGCCTAAATTAAGAAAGACTGAAAGATTTAGTTTGGAAAGTTCTCTTCGTGAGTCAGAAACAATGTTTTAAAATAAATATTTTGCTAAATAATATATTGGCCAAATGAGTTCCCACATTTTTTTTCAATCTGTATCCAGTGAGAAATGAAAAAACATGAACTTTGGAGTAAGGTATTCTTGGTTGGACTTCAGATTAGTAAATTCCTGTGACTATGGGTGGTTTTTTAATGTTTCAGTATCTAACAACAGTGCTTACTTCCACAGTAAAATGAGGGAAATTATATAAGTATAAAGTTATCAAGAAGTTTAAATAAAAGTGTATTAAGGGTCTTTCTCACAATGCCTATTAACAAACTTACATTCCTATATTTTGTTTCATCATCTTTTGATCAATATCACATAACAGCATAAGAAACTGTTGATTTTTCTATTAAAATGTCAGAGGACATAATGAATCCAGATCAACCATTGAATTAAATTTTTGTTGGGTAGTATTATCGTACATTTTGGGGACCAATTGAAGGGCAATAATAATAATTCCTACCACAAACTGTAATTTCCTTATTGACCAAGGGAAAACATATCAATGTTCTGCTACTATTTTAGAAAAATTCATCAGAGTATGAAGGTATGGAATATTTTGTTAATGTATATTTAGTGAATAAATGGACAGACACATTGATGAATGAGTGAGTGTGTTCGTTTTAAAATTTGTCCATAAATTCTTTGATATTCCACTCTTCAATAGATGGAGTGAAGATAGCTTAAGAGACTTATGGGAAAACATCAGAGAGACTAACATTCACATCATAGCACTTCCAGAAAGAGAAGAGAGAGAGAGAGACAGGGGAAGAAATCTTATTTGAAGAAGTAATAGCTGAAAACTTCCATAACTTGGGGAAGGAAACAGACATCCAAATCCAGGAATCCCAGAGGATTCCAAATAAGAGGAACCCAAAGAGACCTACAGCAAAGCTACATAAAATTGAAATGTCAGAAGTTAAAGACAAGGAGATAATATTAAAAGCAGCAAGAGAAAAACAGCTTGTTATGTACAAGGGAGTCCCCATAAGTCTATCAGCAGATTTTTCAGAAGAAACTCTGCAGGCCAGAAGGGAGTGGCATGATATATTCAAAGTACTGAAAGGAAAAAATTCCACTCAAGAATACTCTACCCAGCAAAGTTATCATTCAGAAGTGAAAGATAGAGTCCTCCAGGCAAGAGAAAGCTAAAGGAGTTTAGCACCACTAAACCGGCCTTACAAGATGTTAAAGGGACTTCTTGAAGCTTAAAAGAAAGACTACTAATTAGTAACGAGACCACATATGAAAGAATAAATCTCACTAGAGAGGTAAATATATAGTAAGGGTAGTGGATTAATCACTTATAAAGCTAGTATGAAGGTTAAAAGACAAAAGTAGTAAAAATAACTATTATTGCAACAATTAGTTAAGGGGTACACAAAATAAAAAGATGTAAAATGTGACATCAAAAACATAAAACATGGGAGGGGAGAGTAGTAATGTTGAGCTTTACAATAGAATCAAACTTAAGTTTCTATCAACTTAAAATAGACTGTTATAAGTATGCCTCATGGTAACCATAATGAAAAAGCCTATAGTAAATACACAAAGATAAAGAGAAAGGAATCTAACCATACCACTAAGGAAAGTCATCAAACCACAAAAGAAGAGAACAGGGAAGAACAAAGGAACGGAAAGGAACTACAAAACAGCCAGAAAACAATTAACGAAATAGCAATAAGTACATACTTATCAATAATTACCTTAATGTAAATGGACTAAATTCTACAATCAAAAGACATAGAGTGGCTGAATGGATTAAAAAAAAAAAAAAAGACCTATCTATATGCTGCCTACAAGAGACTCACTTTAGATGTAAGGACACATACAGACTGAAGGTGAAGGGATGGAAAAAGATATTCTATACAAATGGAAACCAAAAGAAAGCTAGAGTGGCTATACTTACATCAGAAAAAATATACTTTAAAATAAAGACTACAGTAAGTGGGAAAGAAAGGTGTTCCATAATGATAAAGGAATCAATCCAACAGGAAGATATAAAATTTGTAAATATTTGTGCACCAAATATAGAAGCACCTAAATATATACAGCAAATATTAACAGATTTAAAGGGAGAAATAGATAGTAATACAATAATAGTAGGGGACTTTAATACCCTACTTACATCAATGATAGATCATCCAGACAGAAAATCAGTAAGGAAACGCTGGCTTTGAATGACATGATAGACCAGATGGACTTAACAGATATTTATAGAACATTCCATCCAAAAGCATCAGAACACACATTCTTCTCAAGTGCATATGGAACATTTTCCAAGGTAGATCATATGTTAGGCCACAAAACCAGTCTTAATAAATTTAAGAGGATTGAAATCATATCAAGTGTCTTTTTTGACCACAATGGTATGAAACTAGAAATCAATTATAAGAAGAAAACTGGAAAATTCACAAATATATGGAAATTAAACAACATGCTATTGAACAATCAATAGGTCAACAAAGAAATCAAAAGAGAAATAAAAGAATACATTGAGACAAATGAAAATGGAAATGTAACATATCAAAATTTATGGGATGCAGCAAAGCAGTTCTAAGAGGGAAGTTCATAGCGATAAATAAATAACTCAAGAAGCAAGAAAAGTCTCAAATAAAAAGTGTAACTTTACAGCTCAAGGAACTAGAAAAAGAAGAATAAACAAAACCAAAAGTTAGTAAAAGGAAGGAAATAGCAAAAATTAGAGCAGAAATAAATGAAATAGAGGCTAAAAAACAATAGAAAAGACCAATGAAACTAATAACTAGTTCTTTGAAAAGATAAAACAAAATTGACAAACTTTTAGGTAGACTCATCAAGGAAAAAAAGAGAGGATTCAAATAAAATCAGAAATGAAAGAGGAGATGTTACAATTGATACAACAGAAATACAAAGGTTCATAAGAGACTACTATGAACAATTATATGCTAACAAATTTGACAACTTAGAAGAAAAGGCTAAATTCCTAGAAACACACAACTTACCAAGACTGAATCATAATGAAATAGAAAATCTGAATAGACCCATTACTAGTAAGGAAGTTGAATAAGTAATCAAAACCTCCCAAAAAATCCAGGACAAGATGACTTCACTGGTGAATTCTACCAAACATTCAAAGAAGAAGTAATACTAATCCTTTTGAAACTCTTCCAAAAAATAGAAGGGAAGGAACTCTTCCAAACTCATTTTTCGAGGCCAGCATTATCCTTATACCAAAACCAGACAAGGATACCACAAGAAAAGAAAATTACAGGCCAGTATCCCTGATGAACATAGATGCAAAAATCGTCAGCAAAATATTAGCAAAAAAAATTCAATAATATGTTAAAATGATCATACACCATCATTAAGTGGGATTTGTTCCAGGGATGCAAGGGTGGTCTTCCTGGAACAGGAAGATTTTGCGGATGCAACATCTGCAAATCAGTCAGTGTGATACAGCACATTAACAAAATGAAGGACAAAAATCATATGATCATCTCAATAAATGCAGAGAAAGCATTTGATAAAATTCAACATCCATTTATGATAAAAAATTCTCATTCAGTGGCTGGCCCTATGGCATAGCAGTTAAGTGTGCACGCTCCACTGTGGCGGCCCAGGGTTTGCAGGTTTGGATCCCAGGCATGCACTGATGCACCACTTGTCAAGCCATGCTGTGGTGGTGTCCCATATAAAGTAGAGGAAGATGGGCACATATGTTAGCCCAGGGCCAATCTTCCTCAGCAAAAAGAGGAAGATTGGCATCAGATGTTAGCTCAGGGCTAATCTTCCTCACAAAGAAAACAAAAACAAAAACAAAAAAAACCTCTCAACCAAGCAGGTATAGAGGGAACATATTTCAACATAATAAAGCCCATATATGACAAGCCAACAGCTAACATCACACTCAGTGGTGAAAAGCTGAGAGCTTTTCCTCTAAAATCAGGAGCCAGACTAGGATGCTCACTCTCACCACCTTTATTGAACATAATCCTGGAAGTCCTAGGCAGAGCAATTAGCAAGAAAAAGAAATAAAGGGCATCCAAATCAGAAAAGAAGTAGTAAAATTTTCTTTATTTGCAGTTGACATATTACATATAAAAAGCTCTAAAGACTTCATCAAAAAATTGTTAGAACTAATAAATGAATTCAGTAAAGTTGTAGGATACAAAATCAATACACAAAAAATTGTTGTATTTCTATATACTAATAATGAACTGTCAGAAAGAGAAATTAAGAAAACAGTACCATTTACAATTGCATAAAAAAGAATAAAGTACTTAGGAATAAGTTTAGCCAAGGCGATGAAAGACCTGTATATTGAAAAGTACAGGATATTAATGAGACAAATTGAAGAAGACGCAAATAAATGGAAAGATATTTCATGCTCATGAATTGGAAGAATTAATATTGTTAAAATTTCCATACTACCCAAAGCAATCTATATGTTCAATGCAATCCTTATCAAAATTCCAGTGGCGTTTTTCACAACAATAGAACAAAGAATCCTAAAATTTATGTGGAACAATAAAAGACCCAGAATAGCCCAAGTAATCTTGAGAAAGAAGAACAAAGCTGGACGTATCACACTCCCTGGTTTCAAACCATATTACAAAGCTATAGTAGTTAAGACAGTATGATATAGGCATGAAACCAAACATATAGATTGATGGAACAGAATAAAGAGCCCAGAAAAAAACCCATGCATACATAGACAATTAATTTATAACAAATTAGACAAGAACACACAATGGGGAAAGAACAGTCTCTTCAATAAATGATGTTGGTAAAATTAGACAGCCATATGTAAAAGAATGAAACTGGACCACTATGTTACACCATACACAAAAATTAACTTAAGATGGCATAAAGACTTGAATGTAAGACATGAAATCATAAAACTCCTAGAAGAAAACAGATGTTAACCTCCTTGATCTAGGTCTTAGCAATGATTTTTTTGAATCTGACACCAAAAACAAAAGCAAAAATAAACAAGTGGGACTTCATCAAAGTAAAAAGCTTCTGCATAGCAAAGGAAACCATCAACAAAATGAAAAGGCAACCTACTGAAAGAGAAAATATTTGCAAATCATGTGTCTGATAAGAGGCTAATATCTAAAATATATAAAGAACTCATAGAACTCAATAGCTGAAAAACAAACAATCCAGTTTAAAAAAGGGTAGAAGAAATGAAGAGACATTTTTAAAAAGAAGACAAAGAGATAGCAGCAGGTGCATGAAAAGATGTTCTACATCATTAATCATCAGAGAAATGCAAATCAAAACCACAATGAGATATCACTTCACACCTGTTAGAATGGCTATTACCAAAAGTACTAGACATAAAAAGTGTTGGTGAGGATGTAGAGAAAAGGGAACCATTGTGCACTCTTGGTGGAAATGTAAATTGCTGCAACCACTATGGAAAACAGTATGGAGATTCCTCAAAAAGTTAAAAATAAAACTACTATATGATCCAGCAGTTCGACGTCTGGGTATTTATCCAAAGAAAACAAAAACATATACTAAAAACGATATATGCACCTCCATGTTCATTGCAACATTATTTACAATAGTCAAGATATGGAAACAATCTAAGTGTCCATCAATGGACGAATGCATAAAGAAATTGTGGTGTCTATATATATGTATAACAGAATATTATTCAGCCACTAAAAAGAATGAAATCTTGCCATTTGGGACAACATGGATGGATCTTGAGGGCGTTATGCTGAGTGAAATAAGTCAGACAGAGAATGACATATACCATATGATGATCTCTCTTGTACGTAGAATCTAAAAAAAATATACATATATAAGAAAGCTCATAGATACAGAGAACAGATTGGTGGCAGGAGTGGAAGAAATGGGTCAACTGTTTTTGTTTTTGATGTTTAGTTTAAATAAATAGAATTAAAAAAATCAAAGATATAGATTTTGACATACAATAATATTTGTTTTTGGAGATTGAAAGAGAATATTGTTCTCTGAAAAAATGATTTAAAGTTTCAAAAATATAATCTGGTAAAATAAAAAGCAGAAAACATTTGAAAATGAAGACAGAAGAAAGTCATGATTGAGGAAAGAATACAGCTTGACATCAGACTTTTCCATAGCAATACACTATGGCAGAAACTACTGGCAAAATGTCTATAAATTTCTGGGGAATTAATGGCTGAGAACTAATTTTATATTAATAAAGTCCTGTAGTTATAAGGACAGGAAGCAGGTATATTCATACGTCCAAGACCCTAAGGAATAGAGTACCCATTAGCTCTTGTTGAAATTAAAAGTAAACATTGATTATTACTAAATAAGGAAATTCAGCCAACTAAACGATAACTCGAAGAACTTAGCATTGGAGAAGAAAAAAAGAGATCATTTTCAAAAAAGGTAAAATTATGACTCATACAGATATAAATTAACGTTATCAAAGACTTTATTGAACTCATTAAGTAATGAGGGAACCAGTAAGATGTTACAAGTGGTTAAAAGAAAAATTCAAATTACTATCATTTATAGTCAGAAAAGGAATGCTGAAATGAATTTATATATAGATGCAAAAATGACAAAATTGGTCAATATCCTCAGGACAAAACCAATTGCAGTTAACCAGACACCATTTGCATTTCTCTTAGTAAGAATTATTGCATTACTATCAGTTCTGAACAACTTACAGAGTTATAAAATAACTCAAAGACAATGAAAGGTAGAGATAAACCTGATGAGTGAGTTAATCAGACACCCATTAATGTTTCTTTTCCTTCCTTCCCTCCATCCTTCCCTCCGTCCTCCCTCCCTCCCCCCCACCCTCCCTCCCTTCCTTCCCTCTCTCTCTCATCCTTTCTTTCTTCTTTTTTTCTTTCTTTCCCATTTCAAAATCTTTCCCAATTTTTCCCTACATCTTTTAAGTAGGTATTATTATTATCCCCATTTTAGATAGAGAGAACTCAAGGCAGAGAGCAATTGAGCCCAAGGTCACATAGCTAGTAAGGGGATGAGCTGTTATAAAGTATACCCCAGATTTTATTTTAATCAGGTATGGTAAGATGACAGACATGGAGACAACTGCTTTTGAAAGAGGAATTTATTACTTAGAATTTCCAAGAGGAGGGAGTATGCCATGCCATGCAGGGCCATGTGGAAAGGCACCAGGGTCAGTTTGGAAAAAGAAAGAAAAAAAAGATGGAGTTTGACTTCCCTCTCCTTGCATGTCCTTTGATTTAATGACAGTCTTTTAATGAATAGAATCTGGGAAAAATGAAGCAATGGGATTTTGAATGCTAGGTCATAAAGGGATAGCTTCTGCCTGATTCTCTCTCCTTTTCTCCTTCTCTCTTTCTCTTTCTTCTCTCCCTTGTCACTCATTTTGGGAAAGCCAGACGCCAGGTTACAAAGACAGTTAAGCAGCTTGTTTGGGATGAACTGAGGCCTCCCACCAACAATCATCGTTAATTATTCAGCCCTGTGAGTGAGTCATCTTAGATCCTTCTGCTCCAGTCAAGGTTCACCTGACTGTAGCCTTGGCTAATATTTTGCCTGGAACCTATAAGAGACCCTGAGTCAGAATCATCTAGCTAAGGCACTCCAAAACTCCCGACCTGCAGAAACTGAGGATAAATTTTGTTTCGAATTATTTTAAAAGAGTAAATGAGCAAGTTGAAAGTACACAGGAAGCATGAGGATTTGTTCTGTAGAACTGGAGTTATGATGTCAGAATTAGCATTACAAAACTTAGCTTAGCCCTCAAATTAAAGATGAGTTGGTACTGTTAGATTTCGTATTAACTATGTCCACTGCTTCTTTACTTCTCAGTTCTCACACAAACACCCCTATGAATTTTTGGAGGAAATCAGAGAAGAGACTTTGTTTGGATCCCATGGAATAGGAAAATCGGATTATCTCTTTTTCACACTTTCTGAAGATCCTTATTTAAGTCTAATCATATTCAAACGCATCTGCTTGAGTTTATGAATTTGCTTGAGATGGCCCAAATTTGCTTCTTTTAAAATCTCTGTAGAGTTTAGAACCACCTGTGTTTCCAAATGACCAGTTAAATTCTAGTTTGATGTGCTCCAATATTCAAGAGCCTTGTTGCCATCCTTTACACTTACTCTTTAGATTTGAGCAAAGTGAAGGATTTTTCTGGCAAAGTGCTAAAATATTGTGTGTCCCTGGATCTTGGAAGGTTTCCCCAAGCATCATGATCTAGGATGTTTACTGATACCTGTTTTTTTGTTACCAAATGTCTTGCCTTCTGCCTCCCCATAATGGCCCTGTTCTCATCCCTTTATCCAGCCTCCGTATCTTTTTAGCCTGGGCTTCTTGTTTGCATCTAGCTTCTAACTTCCAGCGTAAGCAAGTATAGTAACTTTGTAAAATGTTCTTCCCCAGTTCTTTGAGACATTATGTCACAAAAAGGACAGAGTTTATGGGCTATAAGAATGAATTGAGAAAAAGCTTTTTTTTGTGTGTGGGGAAGATCAGCCCTGAGCTAACATCCATGCCAATCCTCCTCTTTTTGCCAAGGAAGACTGCCCCGGCCAACATCCGTGCTCATCTTCATCTACCCTACATGAGACCCCGCCAGAGCATGGCCTGACAAGCGGTACATCGGTGCGCGCCAGGGATCCGAACCTGGGCCACCAGCAGCAGAGCGCGCGCACTTAACCGCTACGCCATGGGGCAGGCCCAAGAAAAAGTTTTTGAGGGTTGGTTAGATGCAATACTTCATAGTAATTAAGCAAAGAACATTTTCTATAAATATCCAAGGGACTCACATTGTGCTTAACTTCTTGTATTCTTTGTTTCCTTTTGTTTTCCATCCTGTAGCAGCATTGTTCTCCTTAATGAAGATACGCTGGAGATTACAGGAGATTAACCAAACAAACTGATTATTGTGAGTCAGGGAAGGAGTATAGAGATATCCCTAAGTAGGGGAGAAGTATAGGATAGAGACATATCCTTCAGTAGGGGATGAAAGTTAGTCATCTGCTTACTACTGTTTTGGTGTGTGAGTAGGATTGAGAATTAAGTATTCATACCTTAGTGTATGTTCCGTTACAAGGGAAGGGTTAGTAAGCTGTGATGGGGATCTATCTACTATATTTTGTTTATATTTAGACAGAAACAGTGTAGAATGTCCTGAGGAATAAACAAAAGACTGTTTAATGCTACCAAATTCTCCTGATTTTTCTTCTCATGTAAGAGCCTCCTCATCCCAGGGCTTCCTTAATGCCTCTTCTCAGAGGACAGCAAGCTCATAAATTATAACATGGCTAAGTATTAGAGACTTAATATACTGTCCTACCAGGAATATATTCTTTCTAAAAAGGTCTTCCTGAATAGAGAATGATATTCTAATTATAGAATGTCAGACAGTGAGAAATCATTGTAGGGGGACATTTGGAGATAGGACACACTTCAAATTTTGCTGGATTGGCAACTGCCTACTTACTTTATTTATTTTTTAAAATTGTCCCTATCATTCCTATATTATGACTAAAGATAAACAGGGACAACGGTCTTCAAATTATAGCTATTAGTATATATTTTCTCAGCATTGTTACTGAGCAATGGGCTCGCTCTGCTTTCTGCAATCAGAGCCAATTAATCACAAGAAGTTAGGGATCAATAAACGAAGTTTTAATTCAATTAGCCAGCATAACCGAGAAGATGGTAGACTAATGTCTCAAAAAACCATCTTCAAAGGTTACAGAACCTTGAGGCAGTTATATAGGGAAAATGGGCAGTAAGGAGGAGTTTGGGGATGTTGGTCTCCAGGCGTGATGGGCTCCAGGCATCACATTGTTCCATTCTTCTGTCAGGTGTGATGGATACCTTGTAGATGTGTTTCCCACCTGTGGTCAGCCTGTTCCTGGAAAGAAACTCATAGAACAAAGTTTTTAATTTATCAAGTTGTTGGGGAGTACATACATAAGCAGACGCCATAAATCAGGAGAGCATATGAATTTTTGGGGGTAGGTGCAGAGCAACCAGTAGTCATGCAGAGGAGGGGCTGGGGCCATTTAGTGTAAGAAGATGGCCTCACTTATGCTCACTTACAGCATGACATTCACAATTGCACTGTGAATTATTGTGATGTATATTTCTTTTCAAAAACATGAAAATAAGAGTCAAGCAGCTTTTATGTTTGAATCTGGCTTCCACTTAAGCTGTGTAAGCATGGATAAGCCACTGAACCCACCTAACTTGCAGTTTCTTTCTCGTCAGAAAAAACGGGATAGATTACTCATCACTGGAGCTCTGATAAGATTAAATGAAATAAGATATATATTTATATGATATTAAAAATAATGTAGACACATTAATTTGCTCATTGATTGGCATATTTAGTATCAATATCCTCCCTTTACACTTCCTAACATGTGTTCATTTCTCTGTTTTTTCCCTGACACAAGAGAAGAAATTGAAGTTTTTTAATGGCAAATATATATACATTTTAATTCACCTTAAAAGAGTGAGTGACGGGCCGGCCCTGTGGCTTGGTGGTTAAGTGCGCGCGCTGCGATGCTGGCGGCCCGGGTTCGGATCCCGGGTGCGCATCGAGGCACCACTTCTCTGTCCATCCTGAGGCCGAGTCCCACATACAGCAACTAGAAGGGTGTGCAGCTGTGACATACAACTATCTACTGGGGCTTTGGGGGCAAAAAATAATAAAATCTTTAAAAAAAAAAAAAATACTTCCCCCCTATTTAAAAAAGAGTGAGTGATTTCCTTCGGGTTATAAAATATCAATAAAAATTACTTTAAAAAGTAAATTTTCTTAGTATTTTTACCTATGTTGATCCATTAGAGGTCTCCCATGTCCTGTATTTGAAATATAAGCCTCTTTGTGAGAACTTTGTGTAATTCTTCCGTAATTAAAACAGATAAACACAGAAAGAAGTAAATGGTATCTTTTGTAAAAATATAACCTTATATTTATGTAGTTTTTCATTTTTTCCATTTTCAAAAAAAAAATTCTAATGACTTAATCAAAATTTTATCCTAAGGAGAAGTCTTCTTTTAAGGGGAATGTCATTTTCTGTGTAGGTAACATAAAGCATTTTGTTTTTCTTTGCTTTTATTAACTGCTGAATAATAAGTGAAAAGGAGTGCACCTTAGAAAAATGCAATAAAAAGTGGCCAAAAAAAAGCATATATTATTTTTCATAAAATGCAATGTTCTTCAAGTGTACTCTCACCAGGCAATGCTATTAAATATGTTTTAATATCCTGACTGGTAATATGGTTAGGATAAAAAATCTACAAAAGACGCCTTTATCAATTTCTGGAGGAGCCAGTAAGAAGATGTTATTTTGATATTTATTATTTCATATATAAATGATTTAAATATCTATCCTCTCCTTATCTCATAGTCCAACATTCTACATACAAATACTCTGAACATAAACTTAAAAT